AACGAGTGTATGCTACCGCTACAGAAGCTAGCAACTAGTTTATGCTACTATTACACTCGTTACTTCTACCACGTACAATAAACAGATGAAGATTTTAATCTTTTTTTTTCTCACACAAATACCTTATTCTAGAGCTTGAATCCACTTTAGTGTATTTACAATTCGCAACTTGTCCATCCACTGGGAAGCTTTTATCAAATTTTCGTTTATGAAAACATGTGTCAATTTCTCACCTGATAATACGAAAATATATAAATTTCTCAACAATATTGATAGCTATATCCTAAATACTGTTTAAATTAACTATTATCATTCACAATATCTCTCAATGAAATCACTAAAGACTTCAACATACTGACATATTCTAAACAAAAAGTTTTTTATACGTTGTCTCTAGTAATATTTCCTATTGATAGATTCAATAAAACTTCAAATGTTAAAAAGGTTTTATTATCTTATTTTTGAACAAAATATGTTCTCACTACACTGAAAAAATAAAACTTCGAGTTTATCAGTATCTAACTGACCTAAATATGTGAGTTCCACATTTTAGCCCCAACGGGACTGCGCCGAAAAGCTTTTTTTTATTATGTACGCATGTTGAATAGTTAGCAGTTCGGGATATAATAATGATGCTTTGGAGACATAATCTCGCCTAAAAATAGCTGAAGCCTTGAAAATTATACGAAAATTTCTGCTACAGAATGACTAATAGTAATTTTAGATCAATTGATATCTATATCGATTTGAAAGCAAAAAAGACATACAAAAAGTTTTTTAAATAATTGAATTTTTTCCTTTATTTTACAAGAAATAATTTTTCAACACTCTCAAACGAACACTTTGATTGGTCTCGGTGATATTCGCAACAGATACATTTGAATTTATTATTGTTTTTCTATAGAAAAAAGAAATTCTGATTTGTTTTTCTCGATCTTGCATATTTATTATTATTATTATTATTATTACAAACGTAATTATTTCACACAACAAAAAAGCGAAGAAGAAGAACACAACAAGAAAAGATTTATGATAATGAGAATTTTTTCAAATCATTGGAAACTCATTTGATCTTCGTGATCGTACACGACATATTGGAAATAGGCTACGTAAAATAATGTTAAATTTATGTCGAAAAAATTTGCTAAATATATAAAATAATATTGGATTAAAAGCTGTCGATGATAAAACTAATAATATTGACATGATAAAAAACAGACGATTTTCATATAAATGATGTAAACGATTTATTTTCGTATAGATAAAATTGATTTGTGCTGGTGAAAATGCAACAAAATAAAGTGTAGTAACCAGTAGCAACATAATAATCGCTCGTCTACGTGCTTGATCGCCCATTTTATGCATTGAAGTCGATACTGGCATTAGCTGAGATTGTGAACGTGGTGGTATCATTGGGACTAAACTGATATTATTGTCGGTTAAATGTGCCGGCTGCAATGATGATGTTTTTGTTCCTGAAATTTGTCGATGAGAATTACTTATGGAATATTGTATTTGATCAGCACGGCAATATTCTTGTACGGCACGATCGACCAAGAATATTTTACGACAAATAAGTAAATAAAGTATTGCCTATAGAAAAAAAGAACATGTTGAGCTATGTTAGGTCTGCGGTAATTCTATTTCGTCGGTATGGCACTCTGAAGAATGGATATACAACTAATCACATAGTCAGTTAAACTTACAAATCCATATCTAACTCGTCCTATTGCCAAAAATGGCATTGAATTCAAAGTGGGCCAAGTACGTGTTGTCATGGAAGAAAAAGGAGAATTTGTTTTTAAGAAATAAGCATCCAAATCTGACAGAACATTTGCTTAACCGTTGCAAACAAGTATGGAAATAATCTAATTTGGTTTTATTAGCTTATCTAGTCATAAGAACGATTTCTTCGTACTCGATAAGACGAACTTTTTAACTCGCAGAGAATTCGATAACAGAAAACATTCAAGTTGAAATTATAAAGGACACAAATCACCTTAATCTTAAATACATTCTATGTTGGTGTCATAACCTTTATACCGAGTTCTCTATTAGTATTTCTTTGTATTTGTAATATGAAATAAAAACCTCTCAGACGTACTTTTATATTCTGTTTTTCTTAATCTCGAATATATACATTCGATTTCATTGACACCTAGACTTTTTCCAGCAAGTTTTCGCTCGAGATGAATGTTTCTTAAAATTTAGTATTGACTGTTCTATAGAAAGCTTACTTGTAAAAATATGGGTATAAAATAGAAAAGTATTGATTCCGCATATTTATAAAATAGAACAAAATATGAATATGTTTTGTCATCGGATAAGCCACAAACATAATATTCGGCACGATCATGAATTGGATGTAATACAAGTAAGAACAAATTAGGTGATGCCATTATAATTCCTATCGACCATATTATGATAACGATTAATAAAAGACGTTTACATCGATTAGAATGAGAAAGTTTTACTGCATGAATTATTGCAATATATCTATAGAAAAAAAGATGTACATATTCCCTCTGTTCTTTTTTTTTTTTTGTTTATTTTGATTTACCTGTCAATGCTAATAATAAGCAACGTTTGCACACTAACATAGCAACCAAGTACTTGAGAAAAACGTATAATTTTACATAATGGTAAACCAAGATACCAGGCTGCTGGCCACGAACGATCATAGGAAAACTGCATAATATCGAATATATTAAAACAAAGAATAATCAAATCAGCACATGACATATTAACAAGAAGAAGATTTGTTGATGATCGACGAATTTTGATATGATTTGTTAAGACAGATAATAAAACAAGAACATTACCAATTAAACCGATAAGAACAATGATTATAAATAAGATAATAAGAAATATTCGAAAATACTCCGACGGATGATCTATCATAGCGGACATAGTGTTATGATTTATGACTATGGTCTTTAGTTATGTTGAGTAATAATTATTACTATGGTTAAAAATAAGCCGAGCAAATAATAAGCGTTGGAAAAAAAAAGAGAAGAAATAGGAGACAATCATACATAATTGTTAAGAACAACAAACCAGAACTAATGTAGAAAAAGAAAGAGAGAGCAATTGAAATACCATAAGAGTAAAACTATAATGGCGTCTCTTCAAAACCGATCCGATCCCTCTTCTGCTCTATGCTGTCAGCCAATTTTTTGATGAGACATTTGTTCAAACAAAAAAACGGAAGCGTATCAAGCTCATTAACAGCATGAACGATAATCTGCTTGCGGTTTTTTTACTTGAGAAATTCAATAAAAAGAAAAATCCTGCTCAAACGTTTCCTTGTCACTTTTTTTTAATATTCTTATCGTTTTTGTTAGTTCTATTTATTAACTTACCCGTTAGATAACGATATTTCCTTATTGAAATGATGCTACGTTAAAAACTAAAACAAATGTAAGCATTAGACGTTATTTTCAGATAATAAAACAACCTTTTGTTCTTTTATTTTTATAAATAGAATAGGCTAATAGAATTGATAGTAGAATCAAACCAATGAATGCAAAACTAATTTGCTTGTAGTGATCTCCTAAAAAAAAAATAACATAAAAATTAATTTATAAAAAAATAGTCTTATTGAAGCTGTCGTGAGACTCTACACAAAAACATATAATATGAAAGAAAAGAATATTGATGAGAGTAAATTACCATAATAACTATGATAAGCTCATCATGTTGTACAAAAAGAGAAGGAAAACAAAATCAAACGAATATTCAAACCTAAAATAGTCCGTTTCGACTTTTCAAATGTCGTAGTTTGTGTGATCGACGATGTCACAAGTGGTGAGTCTATAACAATAACAATCATCATCATCATCATCATACTGATTTATTCCATATTCTTACTGATTATTGGCTGATTTGTAATTCTACTTTTTTTATGAGAAAGAAAAGAACAGCTGCTTCAATGAATGATATCACTTTTTGATTACCTGGAAAACTTGAAGGATGATATTAACAAGGTGCTTAGTTCTGTAGGTTTTTCTATTAAGAATCAAAAGAAGAAAAAAGTCGATAAAATATATCATCCAAATGTCAACAAGAAATACGATCGATGTGAGAAGGTTCGAGTGAATAAAGCCTATAGTCTATTTTCTTTTTCTGTATACTAAATGGTGAGGATAGAACAACAGAGTACGCCATCGATAAATTTGCTATTCCGATGATGCACTGATCGATAAAAACTGTTTCTCCGGCTTCTTACAAATTAATAAACATAAAAGCAATTTCTATTTCTTTTCTACGGCATAAGTCTATCGAGATATATTGACTGCAACGGATTATCGGAAAGATCCCTGACATAAATTCGGAATATGCAACAAAAATGCATTGTTTACAAATGCGCCGATACGAAAATCTTCACAAAAAGAATATATAGAAATAATAGTCCAAGCGATAATTCCTCGAGGAATTCTCTTAATTCTTATACGTTAGTATTAGTACGAGTCCCGTTCTAGTTTTTGAATAGAAATTCGAATTATCTATCTCTAGTCTAAATTAAGATCGTGTAAATGTGTTTGAAAGAACACATAGCGACGAAATGACATGTTCTATTGACTAAATAGAAAACTCGATGAAATACGTGACAGATGTACACTTGATTATTTAATGTAATATCCTCTCTAATAAAAAAGAAAACAAAATCATCATCGTTTTGTTCTCTGCAATATGTTATGATATTTATTCTTAATATCATTTGTTTGCTAAGTGATCAATATTGATTAGAGATTAACTAGTGTTTAAACAAAAGCCATCATATAAATCATCAAGGTTAATGTAGGATGATATTTTTCTAGATGTCAGTGCAATTTTTTTGGCATTCTTGAAATCTGTGTTGTAATATCAAATGTCAAATAATTGATTGAGATTTTTTCCAGATGCTATGCAATTATTCTAAAACTTCTAATGAAAACCATACTGATGTATAATTATACTTATCTAAAAAAGCGAAAAACCAACAAGTCTCGTTGATTTTTGCCAACTTCGTAGATTAGTAATCCTATTCAATCACTAATGCGTTTCATGTTGCACTTTTTATTATCGGAAACTAATCAAAAGCCGTAATCGAATATATAGACTAAATGAATGCTTTCAACATCCGATAATTTTCAAAGTATTCTAATAAAAAAAAGAAGTTCTGATTATACAAGGTAAAAAAAATAAATTATAGGCATCAAACAATAAATATAGTATGCAATAATTTAAGAGTACACATTGATTTATTGGGAGTTACTTTTTCCTCATAATACAACTACGCAACAGATATTCGAAAAGTACGCAACTTTCGCCTTGTTTTCTTGTCAGTAGGGAATATCGTATATCGTTCATGTCGATGCCAACGAAGCGCTATTTTTATATACAAAAAAAGATGAAATATGTAGATTCTTGAGAACAGTTCATAAGAAATGTAAAAATTCAATATGAAGATAATAATGAGGGGAACTTTTCAACAGATAAGCTCTTTTAGAGTCACGATAGTGTGCGCATTAATGAATTCAAAAGTGAGTGATGCATAGTTTGCAACGAGTTCCTCTACTTAAAATTCTTGCTGTGATAATACTAAATCTCTAAGCTCTTAAAAGATCTTCGTATCACGATTAGCCTCAAGCAAATTTAATTTCGAGCTGTAAGTTTGTTTACCAACAGAAGTCTGCTAGAATAGAATACCTTAGATCGAGTTGCTAATTCGATCTTTAGATAAAAGTGCAATCATACGATGTACCATATAAATCGATATCATTGATATATTAATTGCCGAATAGATCAGAGTATTCTACAATCAGAAAATAATCTCCTAAGGGACCATCTCTTTAGAAAGTTTGAAGTCACAAATTAATTTGCCTCGAAGGCATTATAAAAATAAGTTATAGATATTCTAGATTTGTGCTATCTTGAAAGCACAATAAGTACAGGATATGAATTCTTTTTAAATTATTGATTACTATTCTAAGTCCAGACAAATCATAAAGTTAGACATAAAAAAGCAATTTATCAATTGAAAAGCTTTCAACGTCTGTTTTCATAATATCACTTAATAAGTTGCCACAGGTTTCATCGATGACATTTTTTAGTTTTCATTGTGACTGTTGAATTCTCTTCGTTTCTTTTTTGTTGGCAACTTCTACGTTCAATAAGATTTCACTTTAGCTTAGATGCGTGGAAATAAGTAATTATATTAATCTGATTATCGATAGAGTAGAAAATAACCTGTTACAGAATATTATATCTGGAAATGATAGATTGGCAGGTGTATGAATAACTTGCGTCAATCAAAACAATTCTTTTAATACGTATAATGATATTATATCATTTTCATCTAAAGAAAATTTTCAACGCCTACTTTGTTGTCTTGCCGTTGAGACATAATCGTTCAGTAATGACAATATGCAATGATAGCGCCTATCTAATGGCAGTGAACTCGCAGAAAAAGAAAATCATAAGTGTTGAAACTGAAGTGAATTTTATTAGTTCTCACATTAGCGAAGTGTTCTTTTATCATGAGCAGCGATCGAGCGCTTTTCTCACAAATCTACTCTTACCTTTTTTTTCAACCAATTCAATACTCGTTGAGTATTTCCATATATTTCCATACGGGAACTTAATAATTGAACATGTTAAATTTTTTTTATTGTATTCTCTTGATAGATACAATGTTGTGTTTATTCGGACACGTATACGCCAATTTGTTTGTGAAAGACATAATAGATTTGATAGTAAAATAGTAGAAAGATCATCATACACACAATCGATGGTTTCTTCGGCTTGTATTATTTGATGATTTAAGCTTAATTGTAATATCGATTTAGGATAAGAATATGTTTCGCACAGAATATTTATACGTTGTTTATTATCGAACCAAAATATAGATTGATCATTCGTAGAAGTATCGTTTATATTTAATGAAAATAGAAACGGAGCAACTGGAAAGATAAAAAAATTTTTTTTTTATTAAAATTGAAATTAATATTCTAACCGTAAATATTTAAATAGAAAATTGTTATTTCAAAAAGGTTCTTTTTACTATTATAGATAACACATTGAATGTTTTCAAACGCACTATTTATCCATTGACGTACCTTAAACAAGGGAAGAAAAACAAATTGAAATTATATTAAATGAAGCATAGAGAATTAATATTTATTTCTGATGCCTAATTTTTTTATCGGTTGTCTACCGAAGGGAAGCATCTTAGGAAGATATTGACATACGATCTTTCTCGTTTTGCAGTTTAATAACTGAGCAGTCTAATGATTGACCTTCAAAATAGCTCGTATCCATTATCGTATTAGTTTTCAGTTGGATGAATTAAATATAAAAATCATGATATTAGTTTTGTGTAGAGAATATATAATATGGTAGGCCATGCCATACCAGAATACATTAGAAGATTGAATTAAAAACATCTTAAGTTGATGTCATTATCCGACGTCGTTAAATAGCTAAGCTGCTTTTTGGCATGTTCTGAAAAGGAGGAAATCTTTATAAATCTCTATGGTTGTTTTCATATGTATTTAGTCAATAACTCTTAATAGAAAACTGTTCGAACGTCATCAGACTGGTGTCGATCGCTCCAACTTTGGTTTAAAACTATGAGTATTGTTCATTCAATTTCCTTTCTTAACTTTACTCGAGAATTCCATCCTGTAGATAAATAAGCAAGCCTAAAATATTGAAATGTTTACTATTTACACATGATTATTACATTAGAAAAGATCATCGTACGTAAATCGTTTTCGAATGAAACATCTCTTGGTTTATCTTCATTTTGTTCGGAGAGTTTCTGTTGAAAATTTGAATTTATATAATAATATCTAATTTAGTCAACAGAAAAAAAAAATGAAATTAAAAGAAAAATACTATTCATTCTACCGATAAATATTATCATGGTGCAGACTAACCCGCCATGCAACTAATGTATGTTCTTCGATTGAACAATCGAAATTAACTGTTCCATATTCTTCGATATTATACGTTTTATTTGATATTATACGTGAATTTTGCAGCATCGAATTATTAACTTGAAAGAATATCAACAAGAAAGTAATTCTCATTAAAACTAGAAAAATAAAATTATCATATTGATTCGAGCAAGTTATCTACCTGATTTCATTTCAATCTTATTCGGTTATATAATGACACTCGGGGGGAAAAAAAAACTTCATGTGAAATATTTCTACTAAACAAATCGAAACCAGATGTGCATTTCTTTTTTTTTTCTTTATATTTTGCAACATAATGATACAATTGATAATCGAAAAAATGCAACGTTCTGTTTTGAATATAATTGTTCGATGGATATCTATTTGAGAGCATCAGCCGATCGTAGAGTTCTTCGAAGAGTTCGATTGTTTGTTGTTGATTCTTTCTGGACTGATCGAGATGCGTCGTTACGAGTTGTTCGTTCAATAGATTTTTGAGTTAGTGGGTTAAGTAATGGCTTTCGACGTGGAGAATCGTTATGAGATACGTTTTGTTTAGGAACATTTTTATCTTGTGTTACTACTGTTCGAGTAATTGAAGAAACCATTGATGATACGTAAGAAACCGAACTTATATCGGATGGTTGTGTCCTGTTCGAATTCATAGTAGGTTGATTGTGACGTGTTGTTGGCACGGGTTTTACACGATGTTGATAGGGTAAACGTTTATTCACCGGTGACGTTCTTGGCCGAAGAATAGTTTCAGTTAAATCAATAATAGGTAGAACTTCTTCGTTAGCTTCTGGTTTAAGTGATACCAGTAATGGCAAACTTGCTTCATGAGAAATTTCATTTGATGGAACTTGTTGTTTTCGTGATTTTGGTTTTGGTTTGAGATTTATTGATTCTAAATATGAATAGATTGAATCAGAGAAATTAATATTTTGATTCAATAGAAGTTAAAGACTTCAAAATAAACAAATAATACAATGAAAAACAAACATGGTTTCCATCGATCGAAATCTGAAGACTTTGACAAACATGCATTCGTGTTACAATAAAATTAAAGAAATCGAAATCGAAGCCCCGCTCATGACATCTACATATAACAGCGTTGTTTACAATTTATTTCAATTAATAACAACTGTGAAGGTGACTTTTTTTAATGATGATGAAGCCAAATAAGTCTAACAGCAAATAAAAAGAGCTATTTTTCGATCTGTCCTATCAGCTTCTAACTAGATAAAAATTTAAAAATTAGCAAACCTAAGGAAATCCTCTGTTCATTTTGTTCTGCTTGATGACCATGTTGCGCAAGTTTCCATGATGCAAATGATGGATTTGGTCTTACAAGACGGACAAACTTTGTATAGCGATATCGAAGATCTTGAGCTTGCCGTTGTAAACGATTTAGATTTTCACGTAAATCATTATTCATAATATTAATATCACGTTGTAAACGACGATATTCAAGTCTATTAAGACGCATCGCTTGACTTTGACACGGACTTAATTCAGTTGAACCTTTCATGCTCCTCTTCATATGTGATTTGTAACTTTCTCGTTTGCACGTTCTCCTTCTCTGACTTTATTTGATTAGATTGCCGGATTGAAAGAGAAATCTTATAAGTATACTTTATGAGACTCTTGCCTTTCTTCTTTTTATGTATGTTTTATAAATACAATCAATGTGATTGGATTGTTTCGACACGACAATTGAGATTGAGACTGAGTAATTGAAAACTAATAAGACAACGTCTCCATTGACTTTTTATTACGCCGCTTCAGAAGTGGATGATGGAATTAACACACATTCAATACGGCCTTTCAGAGTATGTCATGCGCATTTTTCTAGGGCCTATATTTTAGAAGTCAATCTTTTCAAGAGGCGTCTTTTCTTACAGTTCAAACTTGATTATTGAGCTTTTTTCGCATGGAATCAAGGATTTTAGGAAATCCTGGGAATGATTACATGTCAGCTTGAGAAAATTAATTTGATTTTCATAGCAAACTCTACCGTGATAAGAAATTAATTTCGCACTGAATTGTTTCGAAGCACTATAACATATCGAGACTTGATTTACGGGCTTCGTAAAAGTTTGAAAACACTTAATATTATTTCTCCAAGCTTTTTAAAAAAAAGTAAAATCAATGATCAAAGTATTTATGCTTGAGGATAATTTATAGCGATAGAATAATCTAAAAAAAACCTAGGCTTATTCAAATGGCTAAATATCGATCATATTTAATATATTCGCTACTCCACTATAGAAACGAATATTGTAAATCGGCGCTAATTTTAACTCGAAGAATATATTCTATATTATAAATTTATTTAATGAAAGTTGAAACTGCTCGTCCACGAAGTGCATCGAAATCCGTAACAAATAATATGACGACAAGTGTTGGTCGTTTTTATGAAAAACGACAACAATTGTATGGTGCTCTTGATCAATATAGTAAAGTTTTATCATCGAATCCCGATGATACAGCTACTTATATTGATCGTTCACGTGTTTATCTTAAAATGGGTAGTATTAATAAAGCCCAACAAGATACGGGTAATCAAACACGAGAAAAAATTTGTGTGTGTAGTTTAATGCCTTTTTTAGAATATAGATTTGGCATTAAATCTAATTGGAGAGCCAGAAAAAAATTCAAATCTTCTTTTTTATTATGTTTGTTTACAGAAAGCTGAAGTTCTTTATGCTGATGGAGAATTCGAATTAGGTTGACTAATAAAATTTTCTTTTAATCGAGCCAAACGTTTCTTTCTTTTTGAATAGCGTTAATGTATTTTCATCGTGCTAATAAAGTTAAACCAGCACAACAAACATGTATCGAAGGCATTCGAAAAACAACAGAAATTCTTGAATGTACTATATGTAATCCACATGTACATTTAACAGTAAGCAATAATTTAGTTAATGTTCAAGAAAAACAAATCGAACAAAACGCAAACTTGCTCAATCGACCGCCAATACGAAAATCATTACCTTCGATTGAAATACCATTAACAGAATATACAAACCGAGAAGCAAATCGACTTTTAATAGAAGTAGCAAAAGATCGGAAATTATTAATTAATCTCTATAATGATAAACAACCGTCTGTCGGTTGGTGTATTCAATTATTTTTGTTTAAATTTTGACAAATTAATGTTTTTGTTTGATAAGGTTTTACTGGATTTGATAAAGCAAAAGCTGAAGCACATCAAGCTATATCGATTATCGAATCTCAACTTAAATTTCTTGATAAAGCTGAATGTCTTCATGTTGACGGAAATCTTAAACGAGAAAACATGATATGCACATCAGAAATAGATCGTAGTAATCGTGTTCGAATGGCTGAAGAAGAACTTGTGTATTTACAAAAACTACCATCGAAAGAGAAGAGTACAGAGGTATATAAATGAATTAGTTGTTCTAAGTAGGATAGTGCGATAACTAAAATTTTGCTGCGCTACTTTCGAAAGATCTACTAAAAATAGTCCGTCTCTATGTTACATGTTTATTCTGTCAGATTACAAATGTCAAAAATAACAAGCCCCGATTACCGATCAGAATTGGTCGTACACAACAGACAAAACCATAGCGATTTAGGATAACTAAAGGTCTCGAGTTTGATCCTAGCGGTCTAGATATTGCATTATTCAAAATATTTCAAGTGAAAACGATTTTTCTTTTTTTCTAAAGTTTTTGTTATGAATCTCGGTATTGTGTCAATCAAGTTAATTGATTAAAAGACTCGGAAAGTATAGTCATAAGCTAATCAATCGGAAGTCAGATAATTTTGATTTTTGGAGCATGAGACTTTTCTTTACTCGAATCTACTTTTTAGATGTCGCAAAATTTTCATCCTAAGAGAATACGATAATCTAGCTGATGCTATAAATGAACACTAAAAATTTTTCTTCTTTAGATTCTTTATCGTGCAATGAAAATAATTAATTGTCTTCATTCTTCTGAAAATATTTCCAACACACTTGACTCTCGTACTCGTCTGATGCTTGCTGAATCATTTCGACTTGTAGGACAATCTTACAATGAAATAAAATTATTTGATCAAAGCTTTGAAAATTATAAACAAGCCTATGAAATTCTAGTACCATTAAAAGATGCTAATTGCCTCTATCGAGCTGCATTTGATGTAGCTCGAAGTTTAATATTAGCCAATAAATATTCCGACGCAATTGAATCATTTCATGAAATGCTTGACAAAGCAACGTCGGATAGTGAACGTGCATTTGTGAATCAATATTTAAGTTTTTCGCATTTAAATCTAGCCAATTATGATCAAGCAAAAATATATGCCTATGAATGTCTTGATTATGCAACACTATCCAATGAAGAACTTTTTCGTATTGAAGCAAATATTCTTTTAGGGAAAATTTATTTTGAATTAAAAGATTTTCAACGTGCCGAAGAATATATTGTCTATGCGCAAAATCTTAAAGATCAATTAGGTGATTTAAATCAAATGAAATATTTAGATGAATTATTATTAAACATAAAAAATCATAAGGAGAAAATTTTTCAAGAAAATGTTTCTTCATTTGTAAAATTTGAAGAAAAATATTTAAATAAACTAAATGATCAATGGATATCATCGATTATGCAAGAAAATGAAAGCAAACAAATTAAAGTCGATGATCAATTCATTCGAGAATTTAATAATAAAACTATTTCCAATTGGCGCGTTCTTACACCATATTATCGTCTGTTTGATATATGTATAGAACGTAAAAAGAAAATTCGTCGAAATATCGATCATATAAGACAACCAATTACAGGTTCTTCGCCGAGTTTACCATTAATATCAACAACAAATAGTGCACTAGAAAATACCCAAGAAAGTTTTTCGAAGACATAAACACATTAGATGTGATATTAAAATATTGAATAATTGGTCGACTAAAATTTCTCGAAGAAAAAATATTTATTGGTTCAGTCTTTGTTTTCGATAGGAAAAAAACAACATTCTACTATGAACTTTTTATATCAGCTTTTGATTGTTTTTTTCTATTGATTTGCTTTCATCTGTTGGCAAAATAACAATTGCATTCTAAAAGAAATTATTTTGTTTTCGATTCACAGTATGTTTAATTAGATGATGTTGAAATAGCTGCTTCGATGTCATCTATAAAAAACGATCGAGCTTCAGTCAAGCGAGGGTATGATTTAGAGCCGACACGATCCTAAGAGCAATTCAAGAGGATATATCGAGGCCGACAAGGCGATCATTGTGACATAAATAATGATAATTGCCCCCATTGTTGGGAATTAGAGTATGCGAAAATTATTCTGTCGAGATACTGCAATGTTCTATAGGGAACTCTAAGAAATTTCCTTTTTCAATTTACACTAATTACATACGTAATTGTTATTGTTTTTTGTTCTCTGGCTCAGTTGATCATAGTAAAATTTTAATCAGAACTACTAGTAATCGCGATAGATGAAGTCACATATTTGCTTCATTGCGTTCATTTCATGACGGACTGCCTTCTGTAAGGTTTAATATTTCGAGACTAGTTCATTCTATCAAGTAAAATAGTCGACCAGTGAATTTTATGAAGGATAAATAACTGAATCGAACATTTAATGAACTCATTTCTGTATTTTCTTTTCGTTCTACGACTAGTACTTTTATTTTCTCTTTTCCTACATATTGATGGCCAAAAACTAGAATGAAGAAAGACAGACAACGAGACAGAATCAAAAATAAGATGCATAGCTAGCAAAAATAAATATGATCCAATTTTATTGTCACATATGACTACTACGTCTTATCAAAATATTAATTTTTATTAGCATATTAGTTGAAGAGCGATGACATATAAAGTAATATTTTTTACTACCAATCGATATTAAAGATGAGCATCATTACCTTTAGTACATGTTAAGTATGTACTATGACAACTTCATAGAATAATGGCAGTGCTCGGTAACGGAAACAGGAATCTTTTATTTATAAGTGCATCCAATGGGCGTTTTTTGTTTAAATAAATATATACTAGCCTTTAAAAATGCGAAGAAGATTATAGATAAGTCAGTTATTCTCGAGAATTTTCAGTAGAACCAAATAAAGGATTTTTTGAGCTTTTTAAAAATCGATTTTTCTCGAACTACATTCAATCTAGGAAAAGCTCTGAATCAAAAATAACGTATAATAACATCGAAATTAGGTATTAATCAAGAACTAACATTCTCTATTGGGTTTCGTTACTAGATGAAATTTGTATACTAAATGTTCCGAAAAGAAAAACGTAAGCCTCACCCTTCATTACTCATGCATCGATGTTTGCATGAATGAAAACCCCAGACATGTTAGTAACACGGTTAATTTTTTATTACACTCCATTTAATTTTATCCGAGCCAGTGGCTTTATCTTTAAATAGCAAATTTTAATTGAAACTAAACATAGCTTCATTGTCATGTCAATTTCTTCTTAGAATAAGCTTGCTATTGGTTCGATTGTCTAGATTGAAATAAATAGGAGAGTTTGTTGTAAAAGCTTGCAGAACTAATAAGTTCTAGAATTTATTACCAATGAAAATTGTCATTATCATCAATATGTTTATCCCATTTCGGAAGTAAACAATAATTTTTTATTTTTAAGAACTATTTAATTATTCAATAGAAAATTATTTTCTAATAAAATATTCTTCAAATATTTGTCTTTGTCGATCAGACAAAAATCCTCATGTACTTGATTATTTTTCTCGTCTTCTTTTGATAAGTTTCTTACATCAGCAACGACACATAGAATTCCTAATTATTGAAGTACTTCGCAGACGTCTGCTGCTATATTAATATCTACACATAAATCATTACTGATATTGATTAAAGAAGACGAAAAAAAAGAATCTGCCAACGGCAAATATTACTTTTTTCCTTATTTCTCCTATACATAATCTCTCATCATCTAGCTAGATGTCATTGCGATCATCTATAGAAATGTTCCATAAGCTCGTTTGACTATTGGTCGGTTATAATTGTCCATTTGACGTTTAGGTTGTTGTTAAATTGAGTCATATTATATTACATACACATCATATATCTATATATGTATGTGCTTATTTGTTTAGTGTAGGACAGGGATGAGTTGTTGTTTTCAATTCTAGGCATTGTTTGTTCTTTATTAATATAATTGACGTTGTTTTTATTTATATCATTTAAGATTTCGTTTTTTCGTCGATATGAATGAATGTGAAAGAACAGGTAATTGGACGTTGTTAGAATTAATACAAAAAAAAGTTTTTTTGAACTTCTTATTGTGTATTAAGGGTGCTAAATGATGATTTATATTTAAAAATTAAAATAAAATGGTTAATAATATGGCTAGTCCGATAAATGATTTTGCGCAGCGTACGCGTCTATTGGAAGAGCGCATTGTTGATCCCCGTTCGTCGATTTCAATAGACAGTCTACTGGATTCGATTGTTGCTTTAATTTATGATTGCGAAGGTCTTAAAAAGACAAAAAATTTCGATGGTTTCTATGGAAAATGTAGGTGAAAAAATTTTATTCATACCTGACTATAATTAAATGTATTCTAGTTCAAGCATCGACACGAGAAATTCGTGATAAACGTGTTAATTTCGATGATTTTGAAATTATTAAAATTATTGGTCGAGGTGCTTTTGGTACAGTTGATCTCGTGCGACGAAAAGCAACTGGACAAGTTTATGCTTTGAAAACTTTGAGTAAATTCGAAATGGTAAAATATAAATTGCCGGAAAGAAAGAAAAACTGAAAATTGTTCTTTTTCTGCTTTAGCTAAAACGGTCTGATAGTGCTTTCTTCTGGGAAGAACGAAATATTATGGCATTTTCAAATAGTGATTGGATTGTTAAACTTCATTATGCATTTCAAGATGCTAAAAACGTAGGTTTTACCCATTCAAAAGAAGGCTTCTATGAATCGAACAGTAGAGCTACTCCAGTTCGATTATGAACCCACTTCATGACTGATAGGTAAAGGCCGAATCGGAACATTTGAATTTGGCCTTGTCTACTGTTATTTTGTAACTAATTAATAGAAGAAAATAATAGTAATGTGATCCAATCGGATTTCAAGGTCAGCTATGGTTGATTGGAATAGAACGAAATAAATGACCCGAAAATTAATTATACTTAGAAATAATCGAATCTTACGAGAGTTGTTCTGGTTTTGAAAACATTTAAATGTTTCAAAATTGTAGAGGAGACGGTGAACCATTATGTGTGGTTACATGGCTTTGAACATCGTATTCGAGATATTAATAAACTTTCTTTTTGTATGATTCAGCTTTATATGATTATGGATTATATGCCAGGTGGTGATCTTATAACATTACTTACACGATATGAAATCAACGAAAGTTCTGCACGTTTTTATTGTGCTGAAGTTGTACTTGCACTTGATGCTATTCATACTATGGGTTATATTCATCGGTATGTTTGAGGATTTATTTTCGTTTAATTTTTATTAGTGAATTTTTTTCTCCGTTTCCTATAGCGACGTCAAACCAGATAATATGTTACTCGATGCTCGCGGACATTTAAAATTAGCAGATTTTGGCACTTGCGTTAAAATGGATAAAGTAAATGGTTGCTTTTTTTGTTTCAATTTATCACTGTTCTCGTTTCAGGATGGTCTTGTTCGTTCGGATACTGCAGTTGGTACACCAGATTATATAAGTCCAGAGATTTTAAAATCTCAAAGTACAACTGGCGTTTATGGTGCAGAAGTTGATTGGTGGTCTGTCGGTGTATTTCTTTATGAAATGTTGCTTGGTAATTTTTCTTGTTTCATTTCGCGTAAATCCATTTGTTTCTCTCTCGTATAGGTGAAACACCGTTCTATGCTGAGTCTTTAGTTGGAACCTATCATAAAATTATGAATCATCGAGAGAATCTTGTCTTTCCAGATGAAATTCCTTTGTCTACAGAAGCTCGTGCACTTATCTGTGCATTTCTCAGTGATAGGTAAAGAATAGTTTTGTAGGATTTAGAAGAAAAACAAAATATTTTGTTTGGATATTTTAGATCAGCACGTTTAGGTAAAAATGGTATCGGAGAAATAAAAGCTCATCCATTTTTTACAAATCAAAATGAGTGGTCATGGGAAACGATCAGAAAAGGTTTGAAGAAAAGTTTCAAGGAAATATCTATTTTTGTAATTAATTTTCTTTTAGCGTCGGTTCCTATTGTTCCACCGTTAACCAATGATGAAGATACAAGTAATTTTGAAGAAATTGAAAAATCTGATGGCCCATCCGAAGAATCATTCACGGCTACTAAAACATTTGTTGGCAATCAACTTTCATTTGTTGGATTTTCATTTTCTAGTGAACAACAGTAAGTTATCTTTGATCATCATGCCGAACCATAAATAGATATACATATCAATACTGTTTTGAACTTCGTGTTGACAGTTTCTTTCTACTGTTGAGATAATTCTATCAATCATTATCTGCAAAGCGCTTACCTAATCAGCTTCTTTCTCTCTGACAGACATTCGATAGGATATTAATGAAACAATTTGCTTAGATCTTTAAACAACGAGCCTTGACTATTTTCGTGAAGAAAAAGTCTACGAAGATTTCTCGAGGTTATACAAAGGGTCAATATGCTAGATAGGATTCAATAAATTAACGATCGGTCCGTGGATAACCTTCGCTTGTCAGTGAATTTATATTACCTCGAACGTATTATTATCTGTCATCACAATTCACTGAGCATTGTGGTTTTTAATCTCATCTTAAATTTTAGACCCTTCTTGGATCGTCGTTCCACGACTAATGTAAGTTTTTCGAGAGAATGTTTTCAATCTACCGATTGTATCTTTTGTAGTTCAACAATTTCAATAATTCTGAATTAGAACAACGT